CTTGGCAAGCCTCTTGCAACTCTTGTAGGCAGCGAGATCCTCAGGGCTCCGGTGTCTTCTGCCAGCGCTTGTATGCTTCCTTCTTCTGCTTCACGACTCGCTGGACCTCCTCGTTCCAGAACCACGCTGCCTTGTCTCCTCTGAATCCACCTCGCGTCTCGCCCAGTACCTCCTTGGCACATCGCAGGATGGTCTCAGCCGCGTTGCTCCAAGTCCGCTGTATTGGCCCGTTAGGATCTGGGAGACCAACTTCCATTATCGTTTGAGGTCATCTCTTCTCCGCTTGGTGCAACTTCCACCACCGGATTCTCCTCTCGGTTCTTACCCTTGTCTTCTTGGGGAGGTCTATGGCAATGTCTGCCAGGAGGGGCCTGTGCTGGGGAGCCAGTCTTCGCCAGGGAGTACCTTGATATCCTTCACAGTTTCTGAGGGATGATCTTTTACCAGCACATGGTCGATTTCCGTTTGTCGTCCCTCCACTGCTGTAGGTTACCTTCTGAGTCTCCCTTTTCGCGAAGAACGTGCTGCAGATTGCCAGATCGTGGGCCGTAGCCAGGTCCAGGACCCTCTCTCCCTCGGCGTTCCTCACTCCTATCCCTCTACCTCCGTGCACCCTTTAGGCCTCTTCTGTCACTGCCGACGTGGCCATTCAGATCGGTCAGGTAATCGCCTTCTGGAATCGATCGTCAAGGCTCAGGTAGAACTCGTCCTTCTCACTCTCGGGGCATCCGGTCTGCGGTGCGTACACGGAGAGTATTGTCCAGTACCCCTCCTTCGTGTCTATCCTCACAGCCATGATCCGATCGCTGATCCTGTTCACAGCGGAGACATAGTCCTTGAGCGACTCCGCTACCGCTATGGCCACACCGTTCCGCTTGGTGTCTTCTCCATTGTAGTAGAGTTTGACACCTTCCCGATTTCCCTGGCCTTAGCACCTTTCCATCGCGTCTCCTGAAGGCATAGGACTTGGATTTCCTGCGCGTCATCAGATCAGCAACCTCTCGGGACTTCCCAGTTAGCG